ATCCGAAACCAGAAAATTTACCTGGATTATGGAATTGTTCACATTATTCCGTGAGGAGCTATTCAGAATATGAATACCCCAATCCTCAGGGAAATTTTGACTCAGAGTTCAGACTTTATTAGACCATGAGACACAGAGCCGGGAGAAACCAAGCTCATAGAAATGTCTTTTTATTTAACATGTTTGAAGTCCTTATACATCTTTTTGATCCACCTTTAAATTCAGTTTCTGATTCTTTTAAACCAACATAATAAGGTTTCTAGCAGATTTTTTTCTTTTTTCTTTTTTTTTTTTTGGGGGGGGGGGAGGAGGTGTGTCTTGCCATAGTTTAATTATTCAGTCTTCTGGAAAGGTTTCCATTTTACTTTCCTGATCACAGTGTAAATACATCAGAAATTAAATAGTCATCACATAAGTCAGTCCTGTCTGCAAAACCCTAACAAAAGAGCCTTTCCTTTAACAGAAATAAGTGACTGTCATGCAGTAATAGCTTAAAATACATCAGAGATAATGTTTTTAAAGAATAAGAAAGATGTGTTCTAATGACCAGTGATGGCTCTAAAGTATTGCATGAGCTTGGTTCAAAGCCCCTTGAAATGAATAACAGTCCTTCTGCTGACATTACTAATCTTTGAATTGGGCTCATTAATGTATTGCAGATATTATATCCCTAGCTGCCAAAAAAGCTGAAAAAAAAATAGACTGTAGTCATAAAAATAGACATCAAATACATTTCTCTTCCGAGAATTAATATAGAAGTGAAGAATTTCTACCACTATTCGCCACTGCTTTATTATAGATACTTTCTTACTGGTTTTAAAGGAATTAACAGGGCAAGCAGTTCATCTCATCCAGAACTCTGCCTCCAGCAATGGCCAGTATCGAATGCCACTGAGACTGGGAAATGCTCAAATTGCTGTAATAGTTTTCACTCTGGCACTGTAAATCAGACCTTTCCGGGATGTGCTGTGCTGATGGAGAGGAGGAAGGGTGGGAGGGGAAATAGAGATATTCGGGCAAGACTTTCCCATCTTTAGCTTCTCCGTGATTAATTACAGATCGATACTTCGTACTCTCCGGCTTTTATAGCTCATTAACATCAAACGGTGTCAAGACATAAATTTGTTATATTGCTTGCCAAGACCTAGGGGATGTCTAGAAGCAGACACCCGTAAATGCTCACTGGGGGATATCAATGAGACACAGTTTAGCTGACCAGTTTGAATCTAGGTGGAAAAAGAACACTTTAGGTTCTTTACCTGTGGATCTCAAAGTCCTGTGCAGAAATATGTGTGCGTGTGGGCATGTGCCTATATATGTAAGAGAAGGAGAGAGGGAGGAGAGAGACAGTGGCTGTCGCTTTGGTCCTGTGTGGAGCTGAGAAGAAGCCAGCGATACGGAACCAGGCACTTATTTTTTTCCAGCCCTTGGGATCATTTTCAGGTTGCCTACCTAGCTGAGCATCCCCTGTCCGCCGAGCAAGTGTTATTAAATGCCCTTGTGATGTGAAAATGCAGTGTCAGCTCCCAGCCCTGGCTCCGGGGAGCCCCAGCTCTGCCTCTTTAAGGAACCCAGCGAGTCGTGATGATGCTGTTTGTATTGCTAAATCCCCAGGAGTCCAGTTAAGAAATGGGCAGCTGTCTCTTTAAGTGTGATTTCCTTCTATTGTATTTGAATCGTGATCAGGAAAAAGGAAATGAAACCAGAGACCCGGGGCTGAGCCACGGAGTAATAATAATAATAGTGATGCTGCTCTCCCCCTTCGCCACACATCCACCCGGCTCCGGAGCATGTCCAGAGCTGCCCGGGCTGAGAGCCTGAGCGGAGCCCCGGGAGCTCCGGGCTGAGGCAGCGGTGGCAGCCGAGGCAGCCGCTTCCCACCCGCCGGAGCCTGCAGAACTGAGCTCAGGTGCCTT